TTAGGCTTTAACATTTATACTCGCATAGTCAGCGTTTTTTAACTCATGATTTTGAAATGTTTGCACACTCTGCATAGATTATTCTCATTTAAATTGATGGGGGAAACATATGTATTAATTTATCAAAGGAGAATAATAATATAATGTGTGTTTTTTAAATATTGGTTGTTCCGTGTCTAATTTAATGATTTCCAAAGCACTTTAATTTTTTCATTTACATTTTGTGCTTTTATTGTGCTGCAGCGAGGTGTACGCGCAACCAAACTCTCAAAATTTGACGCATTTGACTCTAAAAGATCGATGTGCAAATCGGTTAAAACTACAGATTGCGTGCTTCTTGGTTTTTCCCCCTCTTTTATTTATTTTTGCAGTTTCTGTCGGCACAACTGCGACTCATTAAGATTAATGTCGCTTGGAAAAGGTTTTACAAATATTTGGCACGTTTTAAAAATATAAATGTTTTCAAAATGAAGTAATAATTTCGTAAAGAAAAAATTAAAAAAATAAAAAAAAAGTACAAAAGTACAAAAGTACCTATACATATATAAGGTATATTGTACATCGAATATTTTAAGGATAGAAATAAAACCAAATATTCACCAATGACAATTTAAACAGATGATTCAAAAGGAGAAAGTAATAACATTTCATTTAGAAAATGAGCAACCATAACGACACCTCCTTCTTTCTCAATTTCTCATTTCCACATTGCCAATATAATTTCACGTACCGACTAAAATATAAAGCTTGGACCAAGTCACTGTTGCTTATTTTACGTATGGGCGTAAACTGCTGGACAAAAACGGTGCGCGGACAAAAAATCGTCGACATAATGTCCTGAAACCCGGTGGATACGGTCGAAGAGAGCAAATACAGGATATTGAACACATTTCTTTAAAATAATAGATTTAATTTATTGTGACATACGGCAAAATATGGGTTCATTATCCCCGAAAGTATGTTTAATTTGATCGTTACCCAAAAGTCTCCTTTATAAAACCTGAATCAAAGCTATAAGTATGCGAACGATTACGTAGCATGGTGTCAACGAACAAACAAGTGATCATGAAATCAACAACTGTTGACGCCATGATCACAAAGAATCTAATCATTGAAACTCACAAGATCAAGGATCATGCACCACGATTGTTGACACCATTCTAAGTTACCATGCAAACGCGAAAAATTACCGTTCAGTTTGTCTATTCAAATGCACTATTTCGCGTTTCTATAGTATGCATGCAGCTTCATTTGACTGTTTAAAAATAGAATCTTCGGAGAAAACAGCTGAAATACGCCTCTGGGCCTAGTTTTTGCCAAAACTGTAATACGGAACTAGCAATTTAGAACAAGTTTATCAATTTTTCTATGCTTGTTTATCCGGTGCAGATTCAACTTAATATGGAAATTTTTAACAGAATTTGCCTTGCGAAATATCATTTCCAAGTTTCCATCTCACAAAGTGCAGTGAAACATAAACTTCAGCCGTCTGTATCGGTTCAAAAGCTTTTAATTTCCTTTAATCTTGCGGGAAAGCGCTTGTTTCATTGGACGAAGTGGATTGAAGTGTTTCTTATTTAAACATCTCGACAAGGCGTCTCTAACTTCGAAAAACAATTGAAAGTCAGAAGTGATAAAGACTGAAGAGCGAAAAACTCATGAACAATAAAGCCATTACCAACGTGAGATTCCGGGATCCATGCGATTTCAGCCCTGGCATCATTAATTATTCTCACGCTTTCCACTCATTACAGCCCTGTCCTGGCCTGTAGTCTTTTGCCCGCGAAAAATTAAGAACTTAAAGATGCAATGACCTTTACCCTTTGAACTTGTTCGAGTAGAAAACGCCCGCGCTTTCGTAATTGTTAGTGGGAATTTTGTAGTTAAACAGCTACAGATTAAAAAGACGCGAAAAGTTCGCGGGACTGAAATCTTGGGACATTCAAAAGTTTCTCGAGGCTGCTGTAAGGAACGTCTTGATTTTTAATCAAGCCACCAGAACCGTGGGAAAATTTTCGCGGATTAAAATCTGGTCTGTAATCCGATTATCCTGCTCAATTTTCCATCTCAGCTCTCTTCGTTCATCTAAGGAAAATCGCTTTGAGAGCGCGTTCGCTGCGGCTAGATTGCGGTTGAACCTTTCGGAACTTGATCGATAAACACAGATACGATAGAAAGAAAAAACTCTTCTTTCTGCTGTATCTGAAGTTTGCAACCGGTCCATTAAGGCCATTTGCCATTGATTCAACACTATCTAATTCTGTCCTGCTTCTCAATTTTGTCTACTTCAATTCTAAATTAACTGAAAGAATGCGATTTTCTAGTTTGTTCACTGGAAAAAAAACACATTGGATCTAGAGTCCAGACTCTTGAAAACATTGACAAGAAAAAATACACTTGATTCAATCGGATTTTTGCTTGAATTAAAACAAAATCCGCTTAAATTAAGAGGCTTGGTTCATGATTTAAGCTAGATTCTGATTGAGTCAAGAGTACTTTTCTTGTCGATGTTTTTAAGAGTCTGTACTCTAGATCCAAAGTTTTTTTCCCCCCAGTGTTTTATTTGAAATGCAATAACAATATCGACCTATTACATGAATATTGTAAGAGACTCAATTTTCACCCAAGGAGCTTAAAAATGGGTGGTTTTTGACCTAAACTGCAGAGAACATGGACGGCAGGGGGCCAAGATCAAACTTTTTGAATGTCCATTACTTTTAGACGGTAAAAGCTTTTGTAGTTCATTTGCTTTAGATTTAACGTAAAAATACTACAATTTCAACTTGCTGGACCTCCCCCCCCCCACCGCAATTATTTGAATAGTGTCCTTTCTGCGATTCACGCCTGGTTTGAGGGAGCACCCCCTTTTTTGGTGGATTATTTTCATCCAGCAGTTGGAGATTCGAATTTTTTAAAAAAATATTCATTATTCAAGGTTGCGATTTTATAAGACTAGTTCTTCAAAACCTCCAGCAGTTAGAATGAATCCAATACCTCCTTGGCTTTCTTGAAAAGCGAGCGGTTGACCCAAGCATTTTTTTCAAAGCTTTCTCCCCTTTCATATTAACGATAAGAAAAATAAGCCGAGCTGGTCTCTTTTGATTCTAATTTCTTTTGTATTTTTGTACTTTTTAGCGGTTGATAATCGCGCCCTGAGGCACCGAAACGTCTCGTGTATTTTTACGTATTTTAGTCTTGTTTCCACTGTTTCGTTGTTTCGCTTTTACTATGGGCCTGTTGCAAACTTTTGCTAGAGCAAAAATAAAAGTTGTTTCCTATAGATAATGCCTCAAAAATCACGATGAGCGCATCGGCAAAGTCTGAAATGCACTCATAACTTCACAATCTGCGTAAGAAATTTGCGTTTTTTTAAGCTTCCCGCTTCAAAAACGATACTACGGCATAGGTGAACATTTTGTTAGAGGAGTCGCTCCATCGTCGGCGATATTCATCATGGCCGACGCTTGCACGCAGTTCCGCGCGTAATTCAAGGAGAGTTCAAGGTCAATCAATTCGGGCGTGGAAAATATGAACGTTAACACACCGATTGTTATCTGGTCTAATCCTGTTCAGGTGTTATCTCGTCCCATCACAGGTATTTTGGCGGATTGGCGTCGGCCATGATGAGTATTGCCGACGATGGAACGACTCCTCTAACAAAATGTTCACCTGTGCCGTAGTATCGTTTTCGAAGCGGGAAGCTCAAAAAACCGCAAATTTCTTACGCAGATTGTGAAGTTATGAGTGCATTTCAGACTTTGCCAATGCGCTCATCGTGATTTTTGAGGCATTATCTATAAGAAACAACTCTTATTTTTGCTCTAGCAAAAGTTTGCAACAGGCCCATTTCCGTTTTGGGCTGCCTCTGTAAATTTGGATTGCATTTTGAAAAAAGGAACCAGAAGAATTGCAATGATGCTGAGATTGTGCATTTTCATCCTTTGGAATTAAATTACTGACACCGTGAAAAAATATGAAATTTACAGGGTAAGGTTTGCCTTGAGTTAACAGTTTTTAGCGAGTAAAATAGAGACTTTTAATGGATAATCAGGTTTTTCTTCCAAGACAAAAGAGGTTGCTCAATCTTTGCAACATTGCAATGCTCCTGGTTCCTTTTTGCAAAATGCAATCCATTTGTCTTACTTCCATCAATGATAAGTTTGCATCCTACAAAAGAAACCCGTCCACGATATGGATGCCTCAAGAATGTTCATTTCGGAATAGGCGATCTCATTGTATGCATCGCGGCACGCCCTGAGTTTCTGAAACAGAAAGTGCTTTGGAGAAATGGGAATAAAACTTCTACCCGACGATTCGCTCAGTGAACGGAACCAACCTGCCAATAAATGCAAATTCTGTGCGATTCGAAGGACTTAAAACTTGGTTCCGCCGCATTTGCACGAGTCATCTAACTCTCTGGTGCATTCAAGTGTTAGCATAAGTTTCCATCCGGATGTAAAAATCCTCGTTAGCGAACTTTCATTTCGAAAGTTTGAGGTCGTGAGGACGGTGTGATCTTGCCAAGTGTCAGCTGACGTAACATTTATCCCTCCATTATTTATGGGGAAGGGAAGAGGGAGGAGGGAGGGGTAGATTTTTATTTCAAAATCAAGACGGTTGAGCCTTTTACAACACTGTATAGTTTTTAGTTGCCCAGTGATTTCTCCCTGCTGTTCTGTGTATACTGTTAAATATATAAAAAGTTATTGCGATCCAGTTAGTTTGGTTTCCTCCGGTATTTGAGATTGTTTATTTATTGATTAACTAGTTATTGTCTTTCCACTTCAACGAGGCCGACTGACCTGCATACTCTAAGACACACTTTGAAAAAATTGAACTCGAAAATAATGAATTAGTCTAGTAAATTAAAAAAACAGAGTTTCATACTTTTGAGAAAAACCATGGATATTTTTCCTTGAAATTTTTAGACACAAAAAATGAAACTGCAGATTAAGTTCCCTCAATAATTAGAAGAACGTATTAAAAAATCAACCAGAAAGTTAGTGTTTTACGGAAGGCAGTTTAAATTAGCGATAATACCATGACATAGTATAATTAAGACTCAATAATCCAAAGACGACCAAAAAAACCCAAAACAAGTGTTGGTAAAATCAGGATCTCTACAGAGGTGTTTTAGGGGGAAAAATTGGAACAAGGTTCAGTATCTTATGAGTACGAAGTTCCTCTTTGGCACGGTAGACAGGAAAAGTGAAAGTATTTCGTCAAAATCACAGTAAATAGAGTTTTTAACGAATTCAGAGATCAACGCATTAACATTAAAGTTTTTGCAAAGTGCGGCGGAATTTTTTTAAAGGAAAAAATAACAGCACGCAGTAAAAATTAAGGCAAAAAACCGTGACTAAATGCGAAAAATTTCACTCTAACTAGTGAAACTTTGACGGGGACACGAAAAGTAAAACAGAAGATGAGTGCAATGTTGATTTGTGTTTTTTTTTTACTTTAATGTTTTCACCGAGTTAGATTGCGTGCATTTGTGCTATAGGGGCAAACAAAAGTTTGGTTTTCGTTGAGAGATGTTTCATCTTCACGAGACATTAAAAAATAAAAATATAAAAAGCAAGACATTACTTCCAGGTTCGCTTCACCTCAAACGATCAATTCCAGGGATGCTTTCCAGAACGAGTCCAACGTGCGAGCTTTCTCGGTCACAAAAAAATTTTACTCGGCAAGACAAGTCGATTTTTTATAAAATAATTAATAATATAGTAAAATAGTATCAGTAGCTGTCTGATATTAGAAGTTTTATCTAAATAATACATTATCAACTAAAACTAAATTCTTTTCATTATTATTCATTAATCCGATTACTTTGGTTGAAGTCAATTGAACTTTTTTGAAATTATATGTCATGTATACTGATCAAATATAAATCAAATTTTCGAAAAATTCTGGACAGTTGTGAAGTTTTTTTACCGGTATTCCCTGACTGTGCGGAGACCCTGATTTATACAGTGATTAAGGGAGGTTTAAGAAACTACTACGAATACAGCCCTCAAAGTTACGTTCGTTTCCTTACTTGCTCCTTCACCGGAAAAACTTTAAAAGTCCGTCGTTCAGGGGTCCCTTTCTCCCCAATCGGAAACCGTATGGCCACAATAGGGACTATTTCCCCGCCGCTGGCCCGCAGGAAATCCCGCTGAAACTCCCACGCAGTCCTCATGCCATCGGGACTATCGACTGCGTAGAAAAACGCCTCGATAGGAAGCCGCTCGGCGTTTTCCTCGTTCCACGCGCGAACCACGATCTCGTTATTCTTAAACCCGAAAGGCTCGCTCTGTATGAAATTGGAGGCTTTCAGGACGGTTCTGAACAGGGCCGGAGCCGACGGCACGGTCATGTTGAAAGCGCACTGCTTCTCGAAAAAATCTGTGTAACCGACTCGTTTGCAATGCGCCAGCCAATCATCGAACGTCAGGATGCCCTGCTCGTCGCATGGACCACTTTCTCCTCCGAGGTTGGCGTAACTCCTACCGCAAGCGTAATCCCCGATGCGTCTATCCGTGGTCCCGTTCACGGGGAAAGCGCAAAGGACTCGGTACCTCCGTTTCGTGCTTGGGGTCTTCAACTGCGGGTACCTGCGTGACGATCGGAAAAATCAGTTTAAGGTGATTTGATGGACGCCATATTTTGTGTCAGAACGGCATGCGATATATCGCATCAATTGTTTCCATTTTTTCAGCTACACGTAATTATTCTCAAATTTGAGATCGCAATTCTGTTGTCAGGAGACAAAAGCACTCACGTGCGAATTTTAACAGAGAAATTCAACGTAATGAAGGCGTGCTTTTTTAGAGAGAAAACATCGCATTCGAGTGCAGTTTCGATATCAGTATCGAATGCGATGTTTTCTCTCTAAAAAAACCGCGCCTTTAGCCCTTTACTACGTTGAATGTCTTTGTTAAGATTGGTAAGTGAGTGCTTTAGTCTCCTGATAACAGAATTGCGATCTCAAAATTCGAGAAAAATGACGAGTAGCTGAAAAAATGGAATCAATCGATGCGATATATTGCATGCCGTTCTGACACAAAATAAGGCGTCCATCGAATCACCTTAATATACACGGATAAATAAAACTTCGTGCGTGGGACCCGAAGTTGAGGTCATATGGATCTCTGAAGTTTTCGGATCACGTATCTAAAAACTAAAGTTCCAGCTGGCGAAGTTCGGGTCAGACATCTGAAGTACTTCGATATATACCGAAGGGTTCGGGTCACACATCTGAAGTACTCCGGTACATACCGAAGTGCCTCGATGTCTGACCCGAACTTCGGAAGCTCAACCTCAAGTTTTCGGATGCGTGATCAGAAAACTTCAGAGACCCATATGACCTCAACTTCGGGTCCCACGCACGAAGTTTTTTTCTCCCTGTAAGAGGGCCATCCAAAAACAAGCAGTGAACTCCAACACAATGTGTTGATAAGGCGCGTCATTAACTCGCACATATCAACCCCTTTAGTTTTCATTTACAGAGATTTCAAAATAGGCAAACAGCATAAAAAGAGAATTCACGATCCAACACTGCGAGGTCAAAGACGCACCTTGACGAGACCGTGTATTGTGAAAGTAGAAAGCTATTCGATCGAATTTAAGTTTTTT